GCCCATCGAGCGTGGATAAGGTCGGCTGATGGCGGGCATTGGAAAGATATGATTTTTAATGATGGGGGGGGAGGTGAGAGGAAGTGGTGATTAGGAACCACTGTATGTTTATTGGCAAGGACGGTTGGGTCACTGTATAACACTATGTGTGGAGTTATATGTGTATATATGTTAATCTATGCTTATTTTTGTCTAACGTTTTTGGTTACAGAAAAGAGATTTAATAAATAAAGTTATGGATGTGTTATGCAGTAATTTATTTATGTTCTAATTAATGATGTGGCCTGTTTCATCCATACTAAGTTGTCTGTCGTTATAGGGGGTTGAATGGGGTTAGTTTATGTATTATGCTGCATCGAATTTCCCCACTGCGTACATACAAGTCAAATAAAAATGATTTATGGTTAGGGGACTGCCACTAAATGTTGATGTTATTCACAGATTAAATGACAACTGACCAAGAGGGGAACAAAAGGAGAAGCAGGATCTTTCAAGAAGTATTTTTCATGACTGTGTACAGATGAACAATATTTTATTATTATTATTACTGCCATTTATATAGCACCAACAGATTCTGTAGCACTTAACAATATTATAAGACGAGGGGATTTAACTATAAATAGGACAATTACAAAAAACTTACAGGAACAATAGGTTGAAGAGAACCCTGCTGTCAGGATTCCTCCATGTAATTCCGTTATACCGCTATATTGTTTTCGCTCTCATCTGCATAATCCGTCTGATTTCCGGATTTTGCCGATCCACTCATGCCCATGCATCTGACGTCACGGATCTCCCTTTAAAAAGAAACTTGCGACTACAGCTGATTGCTCAATCAATGTGTGTGTTATCGTGTATGGGTTTGAGTCTCAATCTCTTGTTTGGTTGGAGCCACTCACAACTCTGATACTTTGTTTCAACTTGGCTCACGTAGCTCCGATACTGTATTGCTGTATACTGAACATCTGGTTTTGATCCTGACCACTCTCTTCTCTTCACTCCCTGTAAAGAACAAACTTCAACTCATATCCCTGCACTCGTCTCATACTTCAAGAAACCAATATCCACATTATCCAGGAATGACTCTCAATCTCATTATCCAGCAAGATAAGTTCTCCTATACTGGGATTTGTAATCGGTTCATTATCTGCAGTTAATTGGAAGTAATGGATACTAAAGTCTGCCTCTGGGATTTCATTTTTGTTATATTAAGAACTTTATAATTGCTCATACAAGTTATTCCTTATATTGGAGTCTAAGTGATTATATCCTTTCCTATCATCAGGATCAACTTATACCTTCATTTACTGCTGTAAGGATTGCTTTTCTTGCTATAACAGATTTCACCTGTCCCATATTCTCCAACTGAAAATAATTGTGGACTGTGTTGCTAAGTACGCTTGCCTTATTCATTTTCTTAATGTTACAATCTTGTGAAGCAATAGTAAACAAGATTGTCATTTATGCTTTTTTACTTCAAGACAAAAGTCTGCTAAATTATGTTTCCTTAAAGTGACAGTATCATATTTTTTTTTTTTCATTAACCTGCGGTTGAGTTCCAAATAATTAAAATTTCAATGAGAACATTACAATATTGATTGAGCCACACAAGGGAACCAGCAGAACTTGATTACTGTCACTTTGCTCGGAGAAAAATTTATTTTTCCAAAAGGAATTTTTGTATTTTTTTTTTGCTTCCTTTTAAAATGGAGACCAGTCTCACTCAAGCTTTTCAAAGTTTACAAACTCAGGTGGAATTATTCACCCAATCACTTCATGAACAACATGAGAAGCTAAACAACTTGCAATGCTAAGTTGATAATCTACGTTTATATACCTCATCACCACACCAATTGTTATCCACACCTTCCTTTATTTCAAATTACTGAAAAAAATTAAGATACCTGAACATTATAATGTACTTAAAGATGATTTCAACAAAAACTGAAGCTGGGTCTTTACCTCCCCACAGAGTATATGACTGTCCTATTGATCTCCTCCCTTTTGGACATATATATCCACTATTTGAACCTGAATTAAAGACTCTTAAAGAATACTTAGAAGAAAACCTGTGCAAGGGATTCATCAGACCATCTACTTTTCCTGCTGCATCTTATTCATCATATTCTTCGTACAAAACAAGGACACTACTATTCGTCCCATTATTGATTACAGAGCATTAAATAAAATAACTGTAAAAAATAGATATCCTCTTCTTTTAATTCCTGAATTAATTGAATGTCTTAAAACAGCAACTATTTACACAAAACTTGAACTTCCTGGAGCATACAACTTAATCCGAATAAAAGATGTACATGTATGGATGGATTATATGAATATCTAGTAATGTCATTTGGACTTTGCAATGCTCCTGCCCCTTTTCAACATTTTATAAATGACATTTTTCGTGACTTTCTAGACACGTGTCATAATCTATCTTGATGACATACTCATTTACTCCGATAACCTTCAGGACCACAGAAAACATATTAAATGGGTTATTGCAAGGTTACGTATACACAGATTATATGCTAAACCAGAGTGTCTTTTTGAAGTATCTGAAGTCTAATTTCTAGGATATGTTATTTCATCTCATGGCATATAGATGGATGATTCCAAAATACAGTGCATTCTTGACTGGCCTATACCTACTACAGTAAAACAAGTTCTTGGGATTTTCAAATTTTTACCGTAAATTTTATAAAAAAGAATTGAGAAATTGTTCAATTTCTCACGCAGCTTACTTAAGAACGTTCCTTTTAATTGGACTGTTGACAACCAACAAGCATTCGATTACCACAAACAACTTTTTACACCAGCACCCATACTCAAGATGCCTAACCCTTCTCTCCCCTTCAACTTGGAAGTGGATGCTTCAAATTATATAATAGGTCCTGTATTCTCACAACAAACAAGTCCTCAAGATCATTTACATCCTATTGCTTTCTTCTCACATACCATATCGCCACCTGAAAGAATTATGCAATTGGTGAGAGAGAATTATTAGGAATAAAAGCTTCTTTCGAGAACTGGCGACATTTACTTGAGGGAACTTAAAAACCAATACTTGTTTACACAGATCATAAAAACCTTCTTACAATCTACTAAAATATTGTCAGCACGTAAACTCAAATGGAATCTGTTTTTCAAAGGTTCAATTTCCACATTCTATATAGACCTGGTTCAAAAAATAAAAAGGCTGATTCTTTATCATGTATTTCGATCATACTGCCTTTTAAATACACTGGAATAACATCTCAGTTTATCAACAAAATAAAACAAATTGATAAAGAAGAACTTCAAATTCCTATCAACTCCAGTTTAACTCATCAAGAAGGCGTTTATTTCAAAGGTGATAAATTGTATATGTTCCTCCTTCTGAGAACTGAAGTACTAGAACTGGTCCATGACCTTCTGCTTGCTAGAAATTTGGGAATAAAAAAGACCATTGATCTAACTACCAGACATTTTTGGTGGCCTGAATTAGTCAATACAATTTCATCCTATGTGTCCTCATGCCACATCTGTCAAAAATCTAAACCTGTACTTCAACATCCTTATGGACTTTTAATGAATTTGCCTGTTCCAGACCGTCCATGGAAATCATCTCAAGAGATTTCATTGTTGATTTACCAATGTCTAAAAAACAAACCACTATCCTTATGGTTGTGGATTGTTTCACTAAAATATCTCATTTTATTCTAATTATCCAGATTGAACATTATTAAGATTGAACAGCTAAGGAAAGAATTCTCCCCACCTTGACGTTCTCTTTCTCAACCACACGTAGATCATGCCTTTTCTACCCTTCAGACTTTCTCCCTGGCTACTGAACAAGAGGTGGCTGCGCTTCTCTTTTCCTCTTGCCCCACCACTTACCTGCTCGATCCGATCCTGTCTCACCTCATCAGATTTCTCTCCCCTTGTCTTGTGCCTTTCTTAACACACATCTTAAACTGCTCTCTCTCTTCTGACATTGTCGCTGCTGACCTCAAACATGCAACTGTAGTACCTATCCTGAAATAAACATCTCTTGACCCGTACTCCCCCTCTAACTAGCGTCCCATATCCCTGCTCCCCTTTTCCTCAAAGCTTCTGGAAAGACTTGTCTTTACCCGTGTGTCTCGCAATCTCAATTCCAACTCTCTACTTGACCCTCTTCAGTCTGGCTTCCACCCTCTCCACTCTACTGAGACTGCTCTTATCAAAGTTACTAATGATCTAATCGCAGCTAAATCCAAAGGCCACTACTTCATACTAATTCTTCTTGACCTCTCTGTGCCTTTGACACAGTTGATCATGCTCTCCTTCTTAATACTCTTCAATCGCTCGGTCTCTGACTCTGTCCTCATGGTTTTCCTCTTATCTTTCCCAATGCTCATTCAGTGTCTCCTTTTCCAAGGAAACCTCATCCTGTCTCGGTTGGAGTACCTCAAGGCTCTGTCCTTGGTCCCCTTCTATTTTCTCTTCATACTGCCTCTCTTGGCAAACATATTGCCTCTTTTGGATTCCACTACCACCTGTACACTGATGGCACCCAGATATATCTCTCCTCCCTGGACGTGTCACTGCTTGCCTTTCTTCCGTCTCTGAATGGATGTCCTCCCGCTTTCTGAAACTCAATCTCTCTAAAACTGAACTCCTTGTCTTTCCTCCTCCTAATACTGATCCTCCTCTCTTGCTCTTCCTTCAGGTCAGTGGTATCCACCTAAGTACATCCTTGCAACCACGCTGTCTTGGCTTCATACTTGATTCTGGTCTCACCTTTGAGCCTAACATCCAGTATGTTGCGAAATCCTGTAGATTCCAACTTTAAAACATAGCCCGTATCTGCCACTTTCTTACAAAAGATGCTTCCAAGGTGCTTGTCCTTGCTATATTAATTTCCCGCATGGATTATTGTAACCCTCTCCTGATTGGTCTTCCCAAAAGCTGTATTGCCCCACTACAGTCTGTAATGAATGCCGCTGCAAGGCTGATTTTTCTCTCTAGTCTGTTCACTCACACCTCACCCCTCTGTCAGTCCTTACATTGGCTTCCTGTATCCTATAGGAGTCAATTCAAAGTGCTAACCCATACATATAAAGCACTGAACAATTCTAGCCCCTCTTATATCTCTTCACAGATCCATAGGTATGCCCGTTCTCGGTCCCTACGCTCTGCCCGTAACCTTCTCCTGTCCGCTACTCACACCCGTACAGCCAACTCGCGCTTGCAGGACTTCTCGTGGGCGGCTCCCTTCCTATGGAATAACCTGCCTACCCAAATCAGACTCTCCCCTAGTCTTCAATCATTTAAGAAGTGCCTCAAAACCCATCTCTTTAGGAAAACTTATGACCTTCCAGAGTAACCTCTACCTTACATACCTGTCTCTCTCTCTTGCTCTCTCCTAAAGGGCAGCACTCTACTCTCTCCTCCAGCTCTGCTTCACTCCCACTCTATTTGATTGATATTTCCTGTCCTAATGTGTTTTATACCCCACCTCCTATAGACTGTAAGCTTGTTTGAGCAGGGTCCTATTCAACCTATTGTTCCTGTAAGTGTTCTTGTAATTGAATCCCCCCTCTCATTTCAGATTTCACCAGTTCGATATTCTCCAATTGAAAAGTATTATGGACTGTGTTGCTAATTACACTTGCCTTATTAATTTTCTTTCTAATGTTACAATCTTGTGAAGCATTACTAAACAAGATTGTAATTTATGCATTTTTACTTCAAGATCTTTTTGCTACAAAAGTCTACTAAGATGAAATGATTTTATTTAAATAACAGTAAATTGACAGTATCACATTTTTTCATTAACCTGCAGTTGAGTTCCAAATCATTAAAATTCCAATGAGAACATTACACCAGCTAAAAAGAGATTACTCTATAGGAGGTGGGGTATAACACACAATAGGAGAGGATATGGCAATCAAATAAGGTGGGAGTGCAAACCTTTAGGAGGGAGCAAGGGACCGGTATGTGAGGTAGAGGTTACTCTGGGAGGCCGTTAGCTTTACTAAAGAGATGAGTTTTAAGGCACTTTTTAAACAATTTAAGACTAGGGAAGAGTCTGATTGTGGTAGACAGGCTATTCCATAGGAATGGAGACACCAGCGAGAAGTCCTGCAAGCGTGAGTTGGTCATACGTATCTGGTGAACATGATCAAATTCTGACAACAATGGCAGTTCTCTTTATTACTAATATGGTCAGAATTCAGTCAAGCTGAGCTTTGATACATTTAGTGTCCAGATTAAATCAGTGCTTTTGCAAGTACAGGATTCAGAAGATTCCCAAAGCACTGATGCAATTGGAACCAAATGCATTCGGCAGGATGCACATTCACAAATTATTGTTCACTTGATTTTTTTTTTGTGTTTTTGTTTTTTGCAATTAAATTTATGTTAAGTACCATTTGCCAAATAGTTAAAAACCATAGGCAATGCGGGGTTTATTTTTTTTATTTTACTTTAATGTAGCGGCTGGACAGCAAGCACTAGACAGCTGCCACAGGGTTAACCATTGCACTGTTTAGAGTTTTTATCTGTTTGCCAAATAGTTTGGATTAGTTCAGATTTTGGCCCAGATTTGAAGCATTCAGGTCTATATTTTAGTTGTCTGGTGGTGTTTTGTCTGGCATAAATAAAGACCTAATTCAGGCTCATTCGAAGCCTGAATAGCATGAACTGTCTAAATTTTGCAGTCTGAATGGCTCCATATGCAGCCAGGTGTGTTTTTTTTTTTTTTTCATTTGGTACATGGCCATTCGGACTTTAGTGTATAACCCTGTATGAATTTAGCTCTTGAAAGAGACAAACCAGCAATAACACAGTGTGTGAGAGTGGGAGATAGCCTGGGTGATTGTTAATTCTACTGTGAGACAAACGTTATCTGGATGCTGTAGCTACTACTGCCAGGAGCAGTAGAGAAAAAACACGTATATAGTTGTTAAAAGTAATTTTTGTTAACTTTTTGGAGGAAAGAAAATTCTTTTTTGGGAACCATGGTATCAGAAAAAAAATATTTTGGCAAGGCTGGATTTGTTTTTTTGTTAACTGTTTGGAGGAAGAAAATCCTATTTTATTTTATTTGTTTCTCATTATGTTCAGTCCAGTGTGCTGTGCAGTGTTACTTAACATCAGATACACCAAAGAAAATACCAAACCACTAAAAATACATGTAAAGGCAAACCTACTAAAGAAAGTGTGCCCTCTAAAACACCAATACAATAGTAAAACAAACAAGTAGGAATGCAAAAAGAGTGAAGTAATCACTTCTAAGGTGTAAATGAAACCTTAGAACCTTATAATGTAACAGCGTGGTGGACAATATCTATAAAAAGATATATAAATCGCACATAGAATGATAAAAGTATAAATGTTTAGACACAGACACAGATATTTTGTATATCTTTTTATAGATATTGCCCACCACGCTGTTACATTATAAGGTTGTATATTTTCATTTACACCTTAGAAGTTATTACTTCACTCTTTTTGCATTCCTACTTGTTTGTTTTGTGTTACTTAACATGAAACACAATAATGCACAGCAGTAAATCCAAAAATGCACTATCCCATTTTGCAACACAAGCAACCAGTTTTGCTAAATAAAGTTGTCAGTTTACACAATACGTTATATATAAAACCATTTATATACTTATTTTACTGTAAAAATCAAATCAAAGCCATCATCAATGTTCCATACTAATCCCAGGAAAATAATTGAAGTAGGGTAGGTGGTAGGGTCATGTTCCCCAATTCACTATCAACAGTAGTGCCATGGCCTTTTAAGAGTCAGAAAACCTCTTCCTTGGTCATGAGGCTTGTTGATGCATTCTCCATCGCTGCCTCCCGGACCAACACCAACACCAGTATTAGCAGTATTTAGCACCAAGATAGTGGAATTAACAGCATGTCCATTAAGTCTAATTCATCACCCATGGGGAAATTGGATATTTATCAGACTTTTTTCTGCCACTTCTACTCGCATTGTAGCTCCTTCTAGCACTGCTAGTTTAAGTGTTACAGCTTCTGTGTTTGATGGTGCTAGAAGCAAGGTATCAATGAAACCAGTGGACATAATTCTGTTGCCCGTATAACCTCCTATTTCTTCATGTACCCCAAAGAAACAACCAAGGGAGAGGACAGCAGAGTATTTGATGGTGCCTTCCGAGCCACTATTCACTCAAGAGATAGAGCAGACAACTCAAGTAATGTCTCTGTGACGAAGTGCCCTTCGCCACTTGGTACTGGAGAGGCCTGCTTGCCAGCCTCCTCCCCTGTGACTATGACTCTTTGATGTATTTGCCTTTAAAGCCCCTATTCTACCTTCAGACAGACTATTTATGTAGGCTGCTTTATTTATCTTATGTTTTAGTCACCTTGTACCCATTATAGGTGCAGGGTGTGTGTAATGTAATTGTTTATAGTGTGTGTGTGTGTGTGTACTGTGTAATGTATTGCCTGCTCTCTTGTATTGCTGAGGTTTGCTACCAACTAGGTGGGTTTGGCTATGGAGCTGGTCTAGTGCCCTCTGTTGGTAGCAACAGCAATATGCACTACCTGAATTGCAAGACTGGTTCATTTGCATATTCGGGTAGATTTGCATATTGCTAATTCTGCAGGCAGGTGAGATATTTAATGTTAAATATTGTCTCCCCCCACCCCTTTAAAAATGTGCCATTGTGTTGTGATAAGTCACTGTGTGTTTCTTGATATGGTTTGACTGTTTGTGATTTTATTGAGGTTTCACAACAATGTTATTGTGGTGACTGTATTGTCTGGTCCCAAGGGAATAAAGGTTTTGACAGTTCTTCTTGATCCCTCTAAACGTAGCCTTGTCTCGTTATTGGAGGGAGCTGTTATAATCACACTGGGGATTGCTATGCTCTGCATGCTCCCCTGAGCTTGAGTCACTTAGCTCTTTTAAGAGCTTGTTCCTGACACGCTCTCCTTGGAGGAGGGGTCTTCACCACACAGTCCTGGATGCTGGAGGTTTATACAGGGTGGAAGGGAGAGTTCTTTCCCACACAGTCCTGGAGGACAGAAGCTGATCCAGGGTGGAAGGAAGACGGCAAGACTCCAGTCAAGATACGGCGGTTGCGGAGTCTGTTGTGGTTGTGGTGTCTGCTGCAGTGCTTGGAGTCCTCAGGAAGCGCTAGGAGCATCCATCAACGGAGGGTACTCAGTCGGAGTACAAGGAGCTCCGTTACAGTCTCCAATGTTTGGTCTTGGTGGTGGTGGTAAGGACTCTAGCAATGATGATATCGCTATTTCTCGATCCACTGTAAACATTTGTTTAAAACTGTTCCAGGTGAAAATAGAATAGGGAAGGCAGCAGGTCCACTGGTACTGAATCCAATTTTGTGCACTTTCACCATTTGTATCTCCTCCACTACTACCACCATTAGGCAGAGCAGGAGAGATAATGGGCCTAGTTCCACTACTTGCCATCTGTATCTCCTCCACTACTATGACCATTAAGCAGAGTAGGGGAGATGTTGAGCCTGGTGCTAGTAGGCGATAGGGACAGACAGACTCCTGGTTCACATTATCCCATGAATGTATCCCCCAGCCCACTCTTAAACATTTTGTTAGATTTCAAGCCACAGGCATGCCAAAATAGCATGCTAACAATATCGCCTATCTTAATGCCCAGCTGATCGCAGTAGGGACAGTTTCCTTTTCCATGATAGAATGGGATCTCGTTAAGCAGCTGATACACAAACTTGCTCCATAATCTGTTCTATTCTTGTGATTCACTTTCAGCAGGAATATAGTTTCATCAATGTACCTTACCTATGGGATACTAGTGATTTTTTTATTTTATTTTAATGAACGGCACATTGGTGGCAGTGCAGGAAGTCCAACTTTACCAGCATGCCAGGGAGTGGGAGTGTATCTGTAGGTTAGTAAGGCTATCGATCTACAAAAGGCACACTTGTTACATGCAATCAGGCGAATAGTGAGAAGTTGGTTGGGGAAGCAGGTAGACACCATCTGCATGTTGGGTGTGTGTTCAAGAAGAGAGTCGCTAACATGGTCAAAGCTCTTGAACATGGTTCTGTTGTAGGCATTCTGTAAACATTCTACATCTTGTATTGAACGGTGCAATTCAAGAAGCCAAAACAAGATTTCAGGGAGAATTACTGTTGATTTCCACTGTAGAGTGAGGGCTACTCAACTCAGGAGCAAGAGAAAAGAGGGCTTTTGATACTCTGTCTATGATAGGATGTTAGCATGCAGTGGAACTCCACTTTAGATATTCAGAAAGAATTTTGAAATAGACTATGCATTGCCCTCTGCTATCTCCTGAAAAATAAAAAAAATATAAAGTGGTGTAGTACAATAGTTATGTGAATATTTTCAACAGTAAAAATAAATCCTATAAGTGTCATAAAACAAATAAGTTCAGTGCAGCAACCATCCAAATCCTGGTAAAAGATAAACTAAAACAAAAAACAATGGTGTGCATACAAACTACTAGCATAAAAAATATCTACCAATTTACAATTCATACCAATATACCTAAGTGATAAACATATACACCATACAATGTTCAAATAAACAGTCACAAAGTGATACTGTGCATGAAAAGTGCTTATATAGTGTCATGTGTGGTAACAGCAGTCTGTAAAAACACACAAATACTTGCATAAAATAGGTCCATCAGATTAAAAGCTATCACATTCTAGGTTTTTATGTGCACTAGGGATTTTGGTTCAGTTCGGAAATTTGGGTAAGTAAAAAAAAAAATTGTCTGCTTCGGCAATTCGGACCAATGGCATTCGTCTCAGTTCGGCACTTCCAAACTACCGAATTTCAGCAGTTCATAACTTCAGAACTTCAGCAATTCGGAACTTCGTAAGCATCCGAATGTACGAATTGCACATGTCTAGTAAGTGGTTGTGGTGGCAGTTCGGGCACTGGGAGCCCTATAGATGTGTAAGTGGTTGTGATGGCAGTCCTGGCACTGGGAGCCCTACAGATGTGTAATGGGTTGTGGTTGCAGACCTGGCACTGGGAGATGAGAGTCCTATAGATGTGTAAAATGTTGTGATAGCAATCCTGGCACTGGGAGCCCTGCAGATGTGTAAGTGATTGGAGTGGCAGTCATGGCACTTTAACAGCGTGACCGGGCCCCCTGTGATGACATCATCACAAGCTTGGAGGAAATGACCACACGTCACTCCTCCCAGCTAATACTGAAAGTCGCGTGGGAGGAAGAAGAGGGAGTCAGAGTGGAAACTCTGACTCCCATCCACCTGAGCCACCACTGGACCCCAGGGAAAGTCACCCTCCTGCACCTTAAAGGTAGGAAACAAGAGTGTGACTTAAACAGTTTGTGTGTTTGTATGTATGTGTGTCTGTCTGTATGTATGTGTGTGCTTGTCTGTTTGTATGTATGTGCGTCTTGTGTGTGTGTATGTCTGTCTGTATGTGTATGTCTGTCTGTATGTGTATGTGTGTGCCTGTGTGTGTGTCTGTATGTGTGCCTGTCTGTTTTATGTATGTGTCTCTGTGCCTGTCTGTGTGTCGGTCTGTAAGTATGTGTCTGTCTGAATGTATATATGTGTACCTGTCTGTTTGCATGTATGTGCCTGTGTATATGTGTCTATGTATGTGTGTGGGTCAGCATATCCCCAAGAGAGCAAAATGGAAAGAGTTACAGGGTTACTTCAAGCTTCACATCCACTTCAATGATTTCACTACAAAACACAGCACATAAAGAGATTAACCCCATTGCTGCTGGAGGTTTAACTTCAAGTACAGCAGCCTCATCATCATAGCCAGTTATTATTATTATCACCATTTATATAGCGTCAACAGATTCTGTAGCGCTTTACAATATTGAGGGGAGGGGAGATTTAACTATAAATAGGATAATTACAAAAAAACTTACAGGAACAATAGGTTGAAGAGGACCCAGCTCAAACGTGCTAACAGTCTATAGTTCAGAACAAATATAGAAACCTCAAGTATTTATAGGTATGGGGTGTTCAAGTGATTGCCATGCTTCCAAAATGTACGTGATCATTGATTATGACACCATTTCACATCATTGATGTCATGACTTCATAAAAAGAGACAGAGATGTAATATTGAGTGGCAGAAATGCCAACAGAGGAGCCAAAGAGGAATAATATGGTGTTGTGCTAACTTGGGGAAATCGAAGCACCAAGAAATCATTGCAAAAAAAGGTTATGAAAAATTCCAAATTGTGCTGGTATTCGAGGTTCACCCCAATAAAACCTCAAAAAATATATACAACAATTAAACATAAAAACCGCACTCTATGCAAGAAACAATTCATTTGTGTACTAACCCAGTGTAATACAATAAGTTGCTAAAGGTGATAGTAACCTTATCCTGACTTAATCTATCTTACACATAGAGAGAAATTCATAATATATACAACCAATATTTACAACCACTGACCGTCCCTTCATAATTTCATATATAATACACCAGGTACAAATTCATGATATGTACAATGCTTTATATACAAATAATAACAGTCCTAATATCCCATACGTGTGGGGGTTAAAGTATCCTAGGTGGATCCACCACCTACTGGAGAAATGCTAGGCCTTTAAGAGAATTGAAAAAAGGAAAAAAAATGCCTCTTCATTATTAATAGCAAATAACAAAAAATGTGATAGCAAATGAAGAGGGAAAAAAAAAAGAGAACCTTAACTCTGTCAGTAGTGTAGGAATGGGGTGATAACTCAGAATTTAAATAAAATAAAATTATGCTACTAACCAAAATGTAATCAGGAGATGAAAATGTATTCAATTACTTCAGCTCCGTTACGGAGTAGGCATCCCAAGTGCAGAATACAAAGACAGTTCATGAAAGGTGTTGCAAAAATGTGTGCCATCGAGTCTGTTGACTTATTGTAGAATAATATACATGGACAGAGATACATACAATATAAAATAGCAAGACAATATGCATTCAGTCACCATGTAGGATTTTTGTTTTTTTCCCCTTTTTTAGTTCCCTCTCTCTTTTGACTGTGGGATCTTGACATGAGATTTTTTTTTTCTTCACAATCACACAAAAATAAATTCAGCGCCGGAGCAAAGTGATAATAGTCCAAAAGCAGCTTGAACACCAATAAAAACAGAAAACTGGATAAAAACAGGAGGGTAGGTGCAGTGCTTCAGTAATACTTGACAAGGTATATGTGTAGAGAACCAGAGAAGAAATGATAGTGTAGTATTTAAAACCGTAGTGGTGATAGGTAAAATAAAAGATGTGCACTCACACATTCCTGGAGCTTCAATACAGCTCCAGTGTATGCGCCTGGGCAGAATAATACCCCCCTATGGATCAAGGGCAGAGGTAATTCTTTGCATTATAGGTGTTGTAGGGGGTATCCTCATAAAAGATAAACAAATAAAAATCGTATATGGTGAAGTATGTAGAGCTGTGGAGCAAGGGTAGGTAAAAACTATAAAATGTACACTCACGTGTAATGGAGCTGTAAAACGTGGCTCCTCTGATAGTGCTTGAAGTGGTATGATCCCCACTCAAGGATACAGGTGTAAATATAAATTCTTCCATCTGTGTATATGTGGAGATAAACAAACAGAACCACAATAGTGTACACCTTAAAAAGGAGTGTAAGCAGAAATAAATAAATGAAACCTACTCACATGCTAAAGAGCAAGTTCCGGTTTACTCAATCCAAAGCGCTTGGGTGGTATGATCCCCACCACGGATATAGCTCCAAACAAACAACAGCATCAAAGTTAGATCCAATTTAAAAAGTACTTTCATATTAAAAAAATTATAAAAGTCATACAATATATTATATAAAATAGTGATAAAGTTATAAACAAGACACTTAACGCATTTCTCCGTGGATAGGCTTTATCAAAAGTGTTTCTTTTTTTTTATTGCCTTACTATTTTTATTGTGTGTAAATCTGTCCATGTATATTGTTCTGCCATAAATCAACAGTCTTGATTTCACAGAATTACACATTTTTGCACCTCATTTCATTAGGTGGATATTCAAAGAATATGGAACTCAAAATGAATACTGATTCAGTTGAGGAACCCCTTACAACCCAAAGGATTACCCCTGTATCTGATAGGTGTCATTAGACTGGAATATGGACAGTCTCTCCTTTTTATACCCAAGCGGAAGTGGCAATAGGCGTAACCTGAGCTTCATTATACATTATGTAACATTTGTAATGTCTGAACAAAGTGACCCATATGGTGGTCTCATTCCTCAACACGTGCCTCACGAGATGATACTTGTTAGCTCAAGCCTGTAGGGTCCAATTGGCCCTGTTGTAATGTCAAGGTGGGATGGATAGCCCAACACACAGAGCTTGAACAAATACCTAACATATAATCTATATACAAGAAAAGAACAGGAAAGAAAGTTAATTACTGGTCCTTAGAGGTGGCCTCTAAAGGTTTGGGGTGAATAAGTCCAGTATGCAGAGAGAGAGAGAGAGAGAGAGCGCAAGGCGCTGTTATTTTAAGAAAAAGTCTCTGAAACTTAGAATGTGTCAAAGCAGGCAGGTAATCTAGAAGAAAGGTTAAGTAAGCAAAGGTCAGAGCCATGAAGCAAAGGTCTAGGATCAGGAAACAGGCTTAAAGTCCTCAACCGGATTATCCAAAGGGTTAGGTAGGCAAGGGTCAAAGTCAGGCAAGAAAGGTTCAAACTCAGGAAACAGGTTTAAATCCTTTAGACAGTACAAACTGACAAAGGAGACTTGTAACCTCTAGAGGGCTCACAAGACATCTGAGCAATGAGCCTTTAGTGGACCAGGTTTAAATGGGGGAAGGAATGGGAAACTCTCCAATAGTGAGGTGTCTAAGGACCTATATATATGAAGGGCTTCCCCTAGTTTGTAGGTGTTCAAACCCCATACTGAGACCCACCAAAGAGGAGTCGGGCTGGAGGATGAGCAAGAGCAACCTGCCTCTGCTGAAGTAGGCATCTGGTGAACATGTGTAACGCGTCTGCCTCTCCTGAAACTCCAT